AAATCAACTCTGATAAATTAATAAATATAATTTTTGAGTTATAAATTTTAAGATAATTAGTTTTTTGAGAACATTTTATTTTTTTAATTAGAATAAAATTGCAAGTGTCAAACAACTAGACCAGTGTCAATAACTGGGTCATTTACCTTACTAACTTTAATGTCATATTTTTTATTTTTAAATTGTAAAAAGTTATAAAATTATTTATTTTTTTAATGAACTAGGTATGATTTAATAATAACTTTATTAATATAAAAATTTAATTATTATTTTAAATAATTAAAAAATGGAATTTGTTATTTTTTTCCTTAATTTGTTATTTAAAATTTTGGTTAAATTTTTCTAAAAATAATAAAAAATTTTACTTTAATAAATGTAATTTTAGAAAAAATAATACTTGAAAATATGGAGCCAATAGATTTATAAAAAAATCAATTGATAAAATTTATTGTTTAAACATTAATAAAATAATTAAATGCATTATTAACATTTTATTTATTTTTCTAAATTATATTAATTTAATTTAATATAAATTAAAAAGTGTAATTAATTGATTTCTTCTTTAATTTGTTAATCAAAACTTTGGTTAAATTTCTTTAAAAATAATCGAAAATTTGAACATTAATTTTATTTCAATAAATTATTTTTTAATAAATTTAATTTTAGAAAAAATAATATTTGAAACTATGTAATTAATGAATTTATAAACAAATTGAATAAATTAAAAAAATTTAATTAATTACATATAATAATAATAATAATAATAATAATAATAATATTTATTAATTGTTCTAGAATACATAGATCAAATTATTGTACGAATTAATTATATTAATGAATTATTAAACAAACTTTTTCTCTATTATTCTTTAATTAAATTCTAATTAATTTAAAAATATTCTCTATTGATGTATATTGCTGATAGGCGTATGTTGATAAATAAATAAATAAATTATTATTATTATTATTTTAGATTACTGCTAGGAGAACTACCAATCTACTGGGGTGATTCAAAAGAAGCAATAGACAATTTATACAAACTACTGGCAACAATCGAGCAAATTCTAAAAAACTTAGAACTTGGACTATCAGAAGAAGGCGGCCAGGCAAAATTCACCGAAAGTGAGCGTAAGGACTCCACCAGACTCTGGACTGGGAGAAAATCTCGCGTTCTAATCTCAATAGTAAACTGCGCGTTGAGTGTAAAGAACTTTTCCCTGGCAATTGATGTCCTAGAGGACCTTTGCGCCGAGAATTGGACAGCCGAGCAACTGGAGATCCTGAAGAGTTCGTGCGGAAGAGTTTACTTATTTTTAGGCGACGTAGCAGCAGCGGAGAAAATTTTTGCCGGGATAAAAGAACTTCGGGACGGGAATTCGCCGACCATGAGGGAGCTGATTGACAGAGGATTGATGGCTGTAGCTCAGAACTCTTTTCAGGATGCGTATAATTGCTTCAAGATCGCTTCAGCTTCTGATCCGTCGAATGTCATGCTGATTAATAATATGGCAGTATGTCTGCTGTACAGTGGACAGCTTAAAGCCGCGGTTCAACTGCTCGAAGCCGCGGTTATGCGAAATCCTATCAAGAGTCTTCAAGAAAATGTTTTGCTGAATGTCAGTACGCTCTATGAGCTACATACTACTCATTGCAAGCAGTCGAAGCTTCAGTTGTTGAGACAGATGAATAGATACAAGGGTGATGCTGCTGATATTTCGTGTTTGAAATTGACTTAGAGTTTTTATTTTATTTATTTATATGTTTGTTATTTATTAAATAATGTAATGTTCGATAATGTACATATTAATAAATTTTTATTTTTATTCATCTTTGGATGGATTTTTGTGAACTGTAAATTTTTTATTATTTTTATTTATTTTAAATGGAAATTGTTTATATCATTATGTGAATCAAAATGCATTAAGGAAGAAATTATGAAATTTTTGTAAAATTTTTTTTTAAATCTTTTTGAGCATATTAGTGAAAAAATTCCTTAATTTCTTCATTAACATTGCAACAAAAAAAGAATAAAATTTTATCAATTATTTTTTAAGATTATGAGAATATTAAGAAATAAAATATGAAATTTTATTTGAAAAATCCTTATGAGTATATTAAAGAAGAAATTGTAAAATTTTTATGACTGAAATTGAGAGACAATTTTTAGAATTTTTCTAACAAATAATTATAGCAAGAAAAATTAATTAAAAAATTATATCTTTAAAAGTTCTTAAAAATTGTAAATGCAATTTTTTTAAAATAATAAGACCTAGTTTATTTTTTAAGAAAAATTAAAAAAGTCCCTGAAAATTTCAGTGTCATAAATTTTATCTAAAAATTCTTAATATACTTATTAAGCATAGGAAGAAAGTAAGAAATTTTATAAAAAATGTTTTAATATCCTCATGAACATAATAAAATTAAAATAAGAAATTTAATTAAACAAAATTCTTAATATTTTCATGAGCATTTTAAAGAAGAAATTGTAAAATTTTTATGTCATTGAAATTAAGAGATTTGATTATTTTTAGAATTTTTCTAACAAATAATTTATAACAAGGAAAATTTATTAAAAAAAATTCCATCTTTAAAAGTTCTTAAAAATTGTAAATGCAATTTTTTAAAAATAATTTTCGCGACCTAGTTTATTTTTCAAGAAAAATTAAAAAATTGTCAAGTGTCTGCAAATTTCAGTGTCATAAATTTTATTTAAAATGTTTTAATATCTTCATGAACATATTGAAAAAAAAGTATGAAATTTAATTAAAAAAAATTGTTAATATTTTTATAAGTATATGAAAAAAGAAATCGTAAAATTTTATCTAAAAATTTTTAATATACTTATAAGCGTGTTAAAGAAGAAACTGTGAAATTTTATTAAAATTTTTTTAACATCCTCGAGCATAAATAAAAACTATCAATTTTAATTTAAAAATTCTGAATATATTCATAAACATTTTAAGGAAAATATAATTAAATTACATGATAGTAAAGTTGGCGGACGTCTAACAATTTTTTTTTTAGATTTTATAACAATTAAATAATAAAATAAAATATAAGAAATTTGACATGCGGAAATTAAAAAAAGTTATTGGTGCAAATTTCTTTGAATATTTTTTTTATTATAATGAATTTTCTGAAAAATTTTCTGAAATTGTCAGACATCAGCTGATTTCATGAAAATTAAGTTAGCCGACATCTAAAAATTTTTATAATTTTTTTTTATTGAAAAAATTATTACAAACAAATTAAAAAAAAGTTTCATTTGTAAAAAACTTGAGAAACTATAAATGAAAATTAATTTAGCAAATATGTATTAATTTTAAGAATGTTTGTAATAAATAAATTATAGCAAAAAAAAAATTGACAAGTAGAAATATTAAATATTAAAAAATGCAATTTTTCAAAAAATAATTTTTTAGAACAAATTTTTCTTAAAAAAAAAAAAATTAAAAAATGGTCAAATGACAGGTAACTTTAAGTCATAAACTGTAAGTGCAATTCTTAAAAAAAATTTTTTAGTTCTAATTTAATGAATGAAAAAAAAATCAAAAAATTAAAAAACTCGGCTAACTTTTTTAACAAATAAATTATGGCAAAAAAAAAATATAAAAAAAATTGACATTTAGAAATTTAAAAAAATAAAAAATGAAATTTTTTTAAAATAATTTTTTAGAGCAAATTGTTTTGTTAAAAAAAAATTAAAAACTTCTCTAGTGAGTGCTAACTTTAATGTTATAAATTAACACTTGTCACTTTGATAATAAGTATGAAAGAAAATTCAAATTTTCGCGGGTAAAGCTCAATCTTCATTATCCATGTGAACACTCACACATTTAACTTCTTGGATGCAATAATAACAATAATAAGTATGTGTACAGTTTGACATATAATACCCATTGTAGTTTGTGTGTACAATTCATACCGTGAAAAGCAGCAAGACCGAAAACAGTCCAAGATACCGAAGGACATAATAAACAATTGACAATTGACAATTGACAATTGAGGAATAATAAAAACTTCTTAAAATAAATTTAAGTCATCGATTATTATCCAGCCTCCATTGCAATTACTTAGTGCCAGCTAATACCCAGCTAAGTATGTTCTTAAAAATATTATATGTATACATATATATCCACATTAATAATTCCCTTTTCTGCCTGCTTCCATTCTATGACTAATCCCTTCACTATTTCCTTGTCGCTCATAATTGACAAAATTGAATAATTTAATTTAAAAAATTCCTCTAAAATAAATAATTATTTTTTAAAAATAATTTTTCATTCAGTTACATTAATAATAGATTACTCATAAATCTTATCATTATCAGTAATTATCACAAATCTATTGCACCAGTTCACCCAACTTAATGATTAATAATAATAACAATTATAATAAAATATTAATTGAAAATATTATTTACAGGAAAAATGTCGCTGTACCCGTCACTGGAAGACATGAAGGTGGATCAGTTGATGAAGGTAAGAAGAAATTGAAACCCTTCCAAGATCAATAATCTTTTGTCCTTTTTTTCTATCCCCAAGTATGTACCTTGATGAATGCATGTACTTTGTCATTTATTATTTATATCCCAACGCAGGCTCAGATGAAACTCGAGCCTCAATTCACTCCGAGTGCTCCCTCGCCGGTCTCAGTGAGCCCGTCAGCACCCGTGCTGACTCCTCCAGGGTGCGATGATCTCTCAGGACAACTGTATCCTGCCCTCGGGGACTACATGGGACTCGAGCTGAGTCCTGAAGCTATTGAGAGTAATATGCCAGAATATACAATTGCATTTCGTGAATCGGTAATTTTATTTTTAGTTATCTTATTGTTTTTATGGATTGGAGAAATTTGTACATTGATTTTTCATGATTGAATTTCAGATGGAAGTTATGAAGCCGGAGTCGGGAACCATGAATGGCATGATTGCACCATTGTCTAAAGATTCATTGGGATTACAGAGAGCTCAAGTTTCTAATGGAATTCGTGAGGTAAATTTTTTTTATTTATTTTTTTAGAAATAAATTTTTTATTTATTTCTTCCAAGGTTAATTTTTTTTTATTTTTTTCTGCAGAGGTCCATTTTTTTAAGTAATTTTTTTTATTTCTTTTGAAAAAATCATTTTATTTTTTTTTTTTTTTTTTAAATAAATTTTTATTTATTTCTTCAAAATTATAATTTGATTTGTTTCTTCAGAATTAAATTTTTTGAAATTATTTTTTTATTTCTTAAGAAAAAAATAATTCGTATACTTCTTCAGAAGTAAATTTTTTTTATTTTTTTATTTATTTCTTTAGAAGAAAATATTTCTTTTAGTTCTTTTGAGACACATATTTTTTTTTTCTGCAGAGATAAATTTATTTTTATTTCTTCAGAGGTCTATTTTTTTTTAAGTAATTTTTTTTATTTTTTTTTAAAAAAGCATTTTATTTTTTTTTTTTTTTACAAATAAATTTTTATTTATTTCCTCCAAGGTAAATTTTTTAACGTTATTTCTTTAAAATAAAATTTTATATTTATTTCTTCTTCAAAATTAAAATTTTATTTGTTTCTTTAGAAGTAAATCTTTTGAAATTATTTTTTTATTTCTTTAGAAAAAAATATTTTGTATACTTCTTCATAAGTAAATTTTTTTATTTATTTCTTCAGAAGAAAATATTTCATTTAGTTCTTTTGAAATACATATTTTTTTATTTTTTTCTGCAAAGGTAAATTTATTTATATTTCTTCAGAGGTTCAATTTTTCAAGTAATTTTTTTTTACTTCCTTTGAAAAAACCATTTTATTTTTTTTTTTTAAGAAAATCAATTTTTATTTATTTCTTCTAAGGTAAATTTTTTAAAATAAAATGTTTTATTTATTTTTCCAAAATCATAATTTTATTCATTTTTTCAAAAGTAAATTTTTTTGAAATTATTTTTTTGTTATTTCTTTAGAAAAAAATATTTCATTTACTTCTTCAGAAGTAAATTTTTTTATTTGTTTCGTCAGAAGAAAATATTTCATTTAGTTCTTTTGAAAAAAATATTTTATTTTTTTTTAAGAAATAAATTTTTATTTATTTCTTCCAAGGTAAATTTTTTAACGTTATTTCCATAAAATAAAATGTTTTATTTATTTCTTCAAGACTAAAATTTTATTTGTTTCTTCAGAAGTAAATTTTTTAAAATTATTTTTCTGCTATTTCTTTAGAAAAAAATATTTCATATTAATATTTTTTAATTTACCAGAAGAATTAACTAAAACTTAAAAAAAAAATTAATTGATAAAAGCAAACTTTTATTAGATAAAATTGAATCAAGAAGAAAGAAAATAATTATTTATTTTTCAGTTAACTTTATGCAAAGACAGTGACGGAAAAATTGGACTCCGTGTTCACGAAGTAAACAACGGAATATTTGTATGTCTCGTGAGTCCTGATTCTCCTGCAGCAAAAGCTGGTTTACGATTCGGTGACCAGATCCTTGACGTCAATGGAACTTCTGTGGCTGGTTACACCATGGATCAAGTTCATAAGATATTCCGTAATGCTCCGGTCAATAATATTAAAGTTGTTGTCCGTGACAGGTAAAATTTTGTTTATATAATATAAAATAAAATTAAGAATCTTTAATTTGTATTAAAAAAATTTCTTGAATTTTATAATTAAGATTTCAATTATACACTTGTTGATTATACTGAAATTGGCTGACGTCTAACAATTTTTTTTTTTTTTACTTAAGTGTTTTTAAAAAATTACACTTATAGATTTTAAAATTTTTTACATATAAATTTTTTTTTTTATTTTTTTATAATTATTTTTTCTATAAAAAAACAATTTCTAAAAATTTGACAGCTGATAAAATTTTTTTTTTTAATTTTAGACCATTGGAAAGAACAATTACAATGCATAAAGACAGCTCAGGGCAAATTGGTTTCCAATTTAAAGATGGTAAAATAATAGCACTTGTTAAAGACTCGTCTGCTGCCCGCAATGGTGTTCTTACTGATCATCAACTCCTGGAAGTTAACGGCAAGGTAATAAAAAAAAAAAAAAAAAACAAAAAAAAAAAAAAAAGTTTTTATCAAAATTTCACGTTCAATTATTTAAAAAACGGCATACCCGAAAAAAAAAATTAATTAAAAAATTTTTTTAGAACGTCATTGGATTAAAAGACAAAGAAATAGTCGCCGAGATAGCCAACAGCCCCAATGTTGTTACAATTACCGTAATTCCTTCTTACATTTACAGCCATATGATCAAAAAGTAAGCAGTTCAACAAAATAACTTAAAAAATAAAAATAAAAATTAACACTAAAAAATTTCAGAATGTCCGGCAGTCTTTTGAAGGCCATGGACCACTCAGTGCCAAATTTCTAGGACAAGCCTCGCCACCGGAGCACTATTTTTTTACTTTTTATCATTTTATCTCTGATAATTATTTTGACTGTTTATTTATACGGCACAACTTTTTTACACGTAATAATTTCTTCCCTGGATCTCTGATCGATTCCGCCAATCATTATTCAAGTAAAGTTATAAATATAAGTAACAACATATAAATATAAATATATGTGCTAAACTGTTATAACTACAATAGTACTCATATATATTAGATAACGTATTTTGTTAATAAATATTTTATTACAGTATAGTAGACGCAAGTCTATAAATAAATAATCTACTTTACGGTTAATTTATTATAGACAAAAGATTTTTATTTATTTATAGACTTCATCGGTTGATTATAAAATATCTCTACGTATGATAATTAGACCTATAAATATTCTATATTAATGTTAATTTTTTTTTTGTGACATAAAATTTTTTTAAATAAAATTTTTCTTAATGAAAAATTTCATATTTCTACAAGTATTTTTATCAAAAATAATCCTACTTATAAATATGTCAATATCACAATATTTACTCATAAATCTATCACATTTAAGCACAATTATTCAAGGTCTCATTGAGGATTTCTTCATTTCAACACAAACAATAGGATCAAAATAAACTCAAACAATAAGCGTGTTACTTCAACTTATACCTGGAATTCCAAGTCATTGCAGGGTAAATAACAACTAAGGGTGAGTAAGAAAATATACTTATAAATATTTCGTCTCCAAGATGTCTACTTCAGTATTGAAACACTAGTCATCCAGACAAGAGCTAAAATACCCTCAAAAAATTATATTTTTAATTATCACTAAACTTGACAATTTTATTTTATATCTTAAATATATTTCAACTTTGTGAACTTTGTGAAGTGATAAAAAAATTAAATTAATTGCAAAAAAAAAAAAAAAATGTCAAGTTCTAAGTTAACTTTTCTGTTACTAACTTTAAATTTGTTGTGTCTCGCAGCTTGCCAAAATGAAGAAGAAACAGATTTTTATAAATTTCTGGAAGACGATAACATGATAAACTTCAAACCAAGTAAGGAAGAGACTCGCTCGGCTCCGTCGTACTTGATGAGTGCCTACTCGGAGACAATTGACAAAATACCGGACATGAACTTCATAAATTACCAGTTAACGCCGCAGGAATTGATGAAGATCAACAACAGCGACACAGTGGCCAGTTTCTTGGCGAAGAAATTGCACAAAAAGAATAAACTCACCCAGGCGATGATCTTCGACGTCCAGGTAATACAAGACCAGCCGTTGATGAAAGCAGACTTGAGGTTGTTTCGGGACAAGTACAGGATTGTCGAAAGCTACCGGGCTTGGAGGTTCAACCTGACTGTTTATATGGCAGACTCCAGCGGTGAACGTAATAAGTACTTTTATGTTGATTCAAAGATGGTTAACCCGGAGTTCGAAGGGTGGATTGTCTTCAACGTCACCGAGAGTTTCCAAAAGTGGAGGACGCATAACGGGTCTAATGATGGCTTCAGGATCATCGGGAGGATCAAGAAGAATAATTTCAAGAAGTTTACTGCAGTCAATCCTGATTCTTTGGGCATTGTGGGACTTGATGGAGACCCGGACAAACATCCTTTTGCGCTGGGGTACTATCACGGCTTGGTTGACAGCTTCTTGGATTTTGATTACCAATTTCTTCATCAGAAGAGACTTTCTAGGGAAGCGAATGTTCATGATTATGATTATGAAGAAATGTACGTTGATTACAACTCGTTTGGTAAATATGACAAGATGATTTATCCCGGGAAGAAATCAAGGTGCAGGATCAGGGAGGTTAATGTAAACTTTAAGGATATTAGTATGGAATTTATTGTGGCTCCTGTGGAGATTCCATTGAATAGTTGTCTTGGACGGTGCAGTTATCCTTTTGATGAACGAGCTAATGCTACTTATCACGCTGACATGAAGATGCTGCAGAGTATTTATGGAATTTCCAGGTTGCAAAAACCTGGTTGTACCCCGATTAAGTATGAAGACAGGACGCTTTTGTACTATGTCGGTGACAGTGTTCTTATTAAGAGGGCGTTTAAAGATATGACAGCTATTGAGTGTGGGTGCAGATAATTTTTGGAATTTTTTCTATTAAATAATTATAATGAAGATTAACTTGGCAGATTTTTAAGAGTTTAAAAATTTTTAAGACAAAAAAATTGACGTTTAAAAATTTGAAAAATTTTTAAGTTGTTTTTTTAGAACAAATTTTTAGGTAGATTTCTTTAGAAATCTATCTATTGTAGCCGGTCTTATATCGTAATTTTTATAAAATTTTGTCATAATATGTTTCATTTCATAGTGAATTCACCGTGATCACTTCAATGTACGGTAATTTACGATCTTCAAGAATGACGGTGAACTTACGGTGATTTCAACGAGAAACACGGTGAATCACCAGCATATGGTTTTTAAGGTGAATTTACCGTGAATCACTGTAATTACGGTTTTTCACCGTGATTTGGATCTGCCAGGGAATTTCATAACGAATGATGATTATTTAGACAAAAAAAATGTGTTAGACGTACGATATTCTTCATCAAAAACGGTAAAGGGTACACAGACATTGCACACTTTTACCGATAAATGATGAAATTGGATATACTTTTATTAAAACTGTATCAAAATCTGAAGAATGTCCAAAAATAAAAGTATTTAAATTATAAAGATTTTACGTTGAATATAATTGTAATCGAACAAAAAATATGCACAACGTGAAAACCATATATTTTGTGTAAAAAACTCTGATCTTTCAGAAAAAAAAAAGTCAAATTGGATGTACCTTGCACCGCACACCGAGAAAAATCAATTTTTCCACTTTAATTGGATTTTAAAGGGTCTTCTGATGTGTTTCTGATAAAATGGATATTTTCATTCAAAAACTGAGAATTTTTTCTACAAGATAAGATTTTTCGTGGATTTTAATAAAAAAGTTTTCCTCATCAGAAAAATTAATGAAAAAGTTAAAAAAAATTTTTTTTCAAAATTTCAAAAAATCATAACTCCAGAACCGCTGCATACTAAGGGCTGAAACTTGAAGGAAATTTATTTCTTATTATAGAGAACACCTCCATAAATTTTAAACATAATTCGCGAGGTTCGCCCCGTAAAAATATTCTTATTTGGTGGAATGACCCATATATATTAGGGTGGTCGTTAAAAATTAAATTTTTTGCGGCGCCCAAAAAAATTCTTCCTTAGGACGAGAAACTACGGGAAAAATTTTGCTTTTTGATTTTAAACGAAAAGAACACGTGCCGACGGGCAATCGAAGTTTTTCAATTGAAGATTTTTCGATAAAATTATAGTTTTTTGAAATATTTGTTCCGGTATTTAAATTTGGACAAGAAATCATGAAAAAACGCTTTTAGGAAATTAAATTCTCTACAAAAGGGTTTCTTTCGTTTTTAGATGAAGCTCATATCTATCGAGATAATCTTATTAATAAACTCATAAACTCCAATAAATCAGTCATTTTAGCACTAAAAACTTTATTTTTCCAGAAATATGAACAATTTTATAACTTCTATTCACAATTAGTTATTTAAATAGGCCTTGCAAATGATAACAAAGTTATATTTGATATTATTTCCTTATTTTCAAAACGAAAATGTGCAAATTTATTTCTCATAAACTGATTTATAAATTCCAAGGTTTGAGTAAGCTTTCTTTTGTATTTTTTGTTTCGAGCTCTGTAATCATCCAAAATTTGAATAAATAAACTGCTTCTGATATTCATCTTTCGTGAACAAATCATTGTACTCTTGCATTAATTTTACATCGCGTTCAGCAACATCGTTCACAACTGGTAAATTATTTAAAGCGTTCAAACAGATCTGATAATTTATATTTTGTTGCCAGTTTTCACAATCGATTGACAACTTCTAATCAATTGACAAAAAACTGTCTTCTGCTGCTTTGAAAAAAATTTTGATGGGTCGGGTATGGCCGAATGGTACTTTTTTTTTTTTTTTCAAATAAAATTAAAAAATAGTCGACTGCTAGCTTTAATGTCATAATTATATGAAGAAAAGTTTTATACTTTGAAATTAAAAAAAAATTATAAATGCAATTTTTTAAAAATAATTGTCTAGAAAGAAAAAAATAATAGAAGACATCTATTTAGGTTGAAGGAATTAATCAGTTTGTCAAAGTTTTGTCATTGCTGTAATTATTTTTTTTTAAATTGAAAAATGAATGTGGTTTTCGTATGTGTAAATTATTATGCTTCAAAGTTTGTAACTTTGGAATATTTTATTAGAATAAGTATGCAGATTAGAGATGTAAGTTTAAAAATGTGTTTTTAGAAATTTATTTTTCAAGTGAAACTAAATAATTATTAGCTGTCAGTTGATTTAATTAATTTATTGTAAAATTTTTTATTTATAATTTAATATTCACTATAATTTTTTTAAGAAATATTTATTAATAAAAATTTACAATTTTAGTTATTAATTAACTTAGTGTATTTTTTTTTTTTTAAAAATACTATCAATTAATTTTGTATTTATTAAAAATATCATGTAAAATTATAGAATTAATTATTATGATGTGAATAAATGTTTGATTTATAATTTAATTTTAAAAAAAAGTAATTTTTAAAAACTGTCACTCAATATATTCCCAGAATAAATATTTTTGTTATTTAAAATATGACTTTTTTTATTTAATTATAATAAAAATAAATATTTTATATAGTTGCTATTGGGAAAAAAAAAAAAAAGTTATACTCATTTTTTTTTGACAAAACTTGAATTTTAAATAGCAAACATAGTTTTTATTCTCAATTTTCAGCGCAATGATACTGAAATTAGCATACATTTGATAATTTTTGGAATTTTTATAATCAATCAGTTATTATAAAAAACATATTTCAAAAAATTTGTACTAATAATTTTTTGAAATTTTTGCATGTCGATTTTTTTTTTACTAAATTTTTTTCATTGTAATTTAATTGTTATGAAAATTTTAAAAATTGTTAGTTGTCTGTTAAATTATGAAAATAAAATTAGCAGACACAGCTGGACAATTTTTAGAAATTTTTTTTATTGATAAAATAATAACAAAAAAATTAAAAGAAAAAATTGCACAGGTAAAAAATTTGAAAAACTGTACGTGCAATTTTTTAGAAATATTTTTTTATTGCTATTCAATAAATAAAAAAAAAATATAAATTTTTCGCTGTCAACTAATTTTAGTTTTATGTTAAATTCAGTGTCATTTTTAAACATTTTCTTCTAAAATGAAAAAAAATTTTTTTCAATAAGTAAGGACCTGTAATCTCAAACTTCCTGTAACTTTTAAAAAAACAATTTTTATCCAAAAAATTATAACAGACTTTTTATAGAGCAGTAAATTTTCTACAAAAAATTTACATAACTTTTTTTTGTGTATTGATTGTAAAAAAAGACATAAAATTTTTAAGTTTAAAAAAGTAATTTTCAAAAGTAAGCCGAAATTTCAAAATTTTTAGAAAAAATTTCAATTAAAAAATTAAAAAAAAAATTGTCACATGTAAAAAACTTGAAAAACTATAAGTGCAATTTTTTAAAAATTTCTTTCTAGTTGTAATTTAATTAATAAAAATAATCAAAAATTTTTCGGCGTCTGCTTACTTCAGTGTAATAATTTTCAATGAAAAATTTCAAAGAAAGTTTTTTTTTATTATTTAAAAAAAATAATAATAATATAGTCAAAACGTCAATAATAATAATCATAATAGAAAAATAATAATAATAATAACTGTGTTTCTATGTCGTATATATATATATATATATATATAGATATATCAATAAAATGTACAATAAGTGTAATGTAGTAATTTTAAGTACGTAAATGTACAGTACGTGTCAAGTTGTCATTCACCAAAAAAGTTTACGACGAGTATGTGCGGTACAAGTGACTATTTTATTGATATTATTACCGTAAATACTATTTGTCATAATTTTAACAATGTTCGAACCCACGGAACCCGGAAAGGTTTGTTCGCATTAATTAAAATTACAATAAAAATAATAATCATATAATTATCATAATCTCAAATATTTTATTCATTTATTTCCAAAAGTTTATTCAAGTGTATTTACATCGCACTGAACTCAATTTCTAATCAGAGTTGCTTGCTATTGTTATTGTTATTGTTCTTATTGTTCATACTTAAATTTTATAGTTGTTTCAATAAATTGCTCTGACACGTAATTGCTTTTTAGGTTATCAATCTGGTACAGTATTCTCTATTGCGTTTCAGCTTTAGATTTAGTCTATATATATTGACATGTATGTGTGTATATATGTGCAATTTTATTTTTATTTTATTTTATATATACATGAGTAATCATCCTTTTTTTTTTTTAATGATTAATTTCTAATTTTTCTTTGTTTTATTTTAGGAGTTGTGTATTCACACTGGAGTTGTCCTAAGAGGTGCAAATGTTCGAGAAGATGAAGTACATAGCTCTGGGACTTTGAATATTGTCGAATATGTAAGGAACGCTTGATATTATTATATGTCAATATATTGGGGTGAAAATGTCTAGTGTAATTTTATTATTATTTTTGCTATACTAGAAAGAAATTATTTTTATGATTATATAAAATTATTTGTTTCTTCTTAGATAGTTATTAATAGACACTGACATTATTATAAATTAAAAAAAATTTTTTAAATATTTACAGTAATTAAATGATTATAAAAAAAATATATGACATTAAAGTTAGCAGTCGCTTGACAATTTTTTAATTTTTTTTAATAAATAAATTTGCTCCGAAAAATCATTTCTAAGAAATTGGATTTTTTATTTTTTTAATTTTCTAAATGTCCATTTTTTTTCTCATTTTCTTCGACATAATTTATTTGTTAAAAAAATTATTAAAATTGTAAAATATCTTCTAAATTAATTGTCATAAAAAATATTTACTAAAAAATTCTACTTGTAGAAATTAAATGAAAAGTACAAGTGTGAATTTATAAAGAAGAAAATATTTTTTATTTTTTTCTTCAAAATAAATTTATTTTTATTTTTTCAGAGTTACATTTTTTGAAGTTATTTATTTTTATTTCTTTAAAAAAAATCATTTTATTTATTTTTTTAAAGTAAATTTTTTTTTTAATTTGTTTAGAAAAAAATATTTTGTATATTTCTTCAATTTTTCTATTTATTTCTTCTTGGTCAATCAATTTCTAAATTTATTTTTTACACTAATATATTTTAATAAAAATTAAAAATGCGAATTTATACAATTTTTTTTTTTGATCATAATTTGTTCTAAAAATTATCAAATTTTTGCCAATTTTTTCGGCGAATATTTTTCATAAATGTTTATAACTTTTGCAATGATAAAGATTAAATCACACCACTGTGATGGTCGAAAAAAGGTGATTTTTGGGATTTTTTTGACAGGGAAAATGAAGGAATTTGGGGATCGGATTATGTTTATTTTATTAAGGGTACATTAGAGATTATTACCCTAAATTTTTATTAAGAAATATTTAATTATAACAGTTATTAACAATCTCGTAGAGAACTAAAAAAAATTTCCTTCTCCATGGTCGCATCGATAACTCAAAAACGGATTATCTTAAAATAAAATCCAAATTGCTTTTTAATCAGTAAGGATGGTAATTATTGTATGAAATTTAAAAAATTTTGATTTTAAAGATTTTTTTAGCCGAGTTAAAACAAAAAAAAAAAAAACAGTAAAAATAATGAGAAAATTTTCAATCAATCGCCATTTTTCTGAAATTCCCCCTTAATAATAATAAATAATAAATAGTTTTATTTGCACGACTTTCGTCTGTTACAAAGTTTTTACATATATTGTGTCATTGTATGTTAATTGTATATATTATTTCTCTTTCCATTTGATCTTTCTATTTTTCTTTTCTTTTCTTTTTTCCTCTTGTTTGCACGTCGTTGTTCTGGTGATCCTCCTGCCCCAAACTCCGCAATCCCGTTTTTTCCCTTAGGATCTCTTCAATTTTTCTTCAAGACCGTGTATGCTCTCCCGTCTATTCTTCCCTTTAGTACTTCTATTAATCTTTCTTCAACCTCTTCATTTTCTAAATTTTTCCATTCATTTAAAAAACTCTTTCCTTCTTCTCCAACTTTTTCATATATTTCTTCACATTTCATTATATGCATCAGGGTTTCTTCTTCCCCCTCACATACTCTGCATCTCCAATCCTTAAATCCTTTCTTTCCCCCTCTTCCTATGTTCCCACATCGTACCCTCGCCCATGTTTCCTTATCTTCCCCACTTATTTCATCTTTTCCCCAATAGTAATTTTTATCTTTGTCTTTTTTTATTTTCTTATATAATTTGCAGTATGATGATTTCTCTATCGCCTCCTCGTCTTCTTTTTTTGCTTCTTCTTTTATTCTCATTATCCCTTCGTCCAGCTTAAATTCCCCCTTAATATATATTTTTCATTTTATTCAAAAATCCAAAAATTACTATAATTTTTAAGAAAATACTTATTTATAATTATAGCTTAATTTTTAAAATAACAAATTAAATTTATTATTATCTAAATTAAAAAAAAAATTTCATTATTTATTATCATGAAGAATATCTTTTTTTTTATAATAGTTATTTCAACTTTTTTAAAATAAATACGACACTAAAATAAATAAAATAAATTATTTCTTCTTATTTTAAGAAGAAATAATTTATTAGTTTTCTAAAATACTCCATAAATAATACTGAAGAAATAATTAAAAAATTTATATGTTTATTTATTTTTTTTATTAATATTTATCTTCTCACAAAAACAATTGTCAAATATTTATCTTCAGTCTCATAATTTATAAAATTTATACTTATAATAAAAAAAAAATTAATAAATAACTAATGCAATAAAATTGATTCAATAAAACCATTTGATAATAATCAAATAATTATGAAGAAAAAACAATTCAAAAATTTATACATATTTATTTTTTTTTCTTATTAATATTTATCTCTTCAGAAGAAAAATTGTCAAATATTCATCTTCAGTCTCAATTTAAAAAATTTATTTTTATTAAAAAAATAATTAATTCAAAACATTTATTTAATAATAAAATAAAATAAAATAATTTTAAAGAAGAAATAAAAAATAAAAAAACTAATTCTTAAATTTGTTCCCTAGAGTTTTGGTAAATGCATCGAATGGAAGCCTCAAGAAGTATCAGTAGTATCAGAAAACCAAGACCAGGATCCAGAATGGTCAGTAGTAGAGTCTCACACTCGTCGCACCCGTACTTCTTCGGAAGGACCCGACTCTCTGGGGCGTGCTCGCACTGTCCGGATCCTGTTCTTCGACCTGAAGTCAGTAAGAATAAACCACGGTGGACAGCAGTTGATCTTTATGCAGAAAGACGGGACGACCTACGTCGCGTTTTTCCAGCTGTCCAACGCCGAGAGTTTCGTCAGTTCTCTCAAGGGGTTCATTAAGTTTGAAAAAGCCAAGTCTGACAGAAATTTGTTTCTCGTTTCTGACAGCGAGTACAGCAGCACAGTATTGAAGAGCTCCTTCGCCGAGCTGGACCTATTTCAAGAAAACACTTCTGACTATGTTTGGAAGTTTGTTAAGAATTTACACAATCGTCCTTATGAAACTACTCTAGAAGCTTTTAGCAAACTTGCTGATATTTGGCGTAAGTATTTTATTTATAAAATTAATTTATTTAACATTGACTAATTTATTGTTTTTTTTTTTTTTTTTTAGTTTATAAAGAGCCAGTCAAGCAACCGGTAGAAGAAGCAGTTGCTGATTTGTTAAATAGGTCATTAACCGTCGACTTGACATCCCAAGCACTTGGTTCCAGCGGTTCTGGGGAAGAATATGAAGTTATAGGCCAGCCAGGGCATAAAATAATTCTACCTCCAAGGCCACCTTGTCCACGTGGTGCGCCTTTGTCACAAGAACAGTGGGATAGGTGTAAAGATTCTGAAGGAAGGATTACTAATCCAGATGCTATACGTGAAATTATATTTCGTGGGGTTAGTAAAAATATTTTGAATATTTTTTTAGATTGATTTTATTCAATATATATTTTTTAAATTAATGTGTTGTAATCCGAGGGTTAAGGATTATGAAATAAGTTAATACTAGATTTTTATTTTACGCAACGTTTCGGAGTTTATTACTCTTTCCTCAGGCGTCTGTGGAAACATACAAAATTTATACAATTAATTATTTTAATACAGAACAACACCTCAAAATCTCTTAACTAACTCAATATCACATACCATAAAAGATTTATGTATTAACTTCGTCAACAAACAATAAATGTTGCTCTGTCGTTTCCATCGTAGTCTACAAATTCTAGTCAATACCCGAGTTATCTTAATTTTTACCAAATATTTACTTCTTTAAAAATATTTTTTTAAAAAACTTTAAAAAATATTATCAAATTATTTATTTTATTTATTTTTATAAAAACTTTTTAGTCAAAAACACAGCCACCTATCAGTCGAATGTCAACAATCAGCCATATTGTCAGATATATTTTTTTTTCATATTTTATTTTCTGTTTTTTTATATATTTTTTTTGTAAAATTTTATTTTTTAATACTTAAAAAAAATTTTTTTTTTCATAAATATTTTATTTTCGAAATTTTGTTTTGTAATATATTTTAATACTTTTTTTTGCAAGATTTTCTAATATTTTTTTTTTGTAATATTTTTTAGTATTATTTTTTTTTTAGAAATATTTTTTATTTAAGGGGGTATTCTGGTTTAGAAATTTGAAAAAATTGATTTTTTTATAGTTTCAAAGCTTAACCCTTTAAGAATATATCTTTAAAAGGATTTTAGAAAATTCTAATCATTTTAAGAGATATAAGTAGCTTAAAGCTAGTTTTTCTGACGCGGTATCTAAATCGACTCGGCTGGAACTAGACTGCGGGAAATTTTAAGTGAAACTTTAAACGCGTTTTTACGACCTACGATTTCTCAAGTTCTATTGAACCGAATCACTTGAAATTTGGTGTGAGTCTTCTTTATAGACTTTTCTATCACCCGAACTAATCTCATCCCCGAATTTTAATATTTATTATTTTTAAAAAATTCGGAAAACTCAAAAAAAGAGATACAAAAATTAATTTTTTTTTCGGGCAGTCGTCATTTTGTGAAAAAATTTTTTTTCAACTTTTCCGTAATTCCAGACATTGCGATATGACTCTAGATTAATACTAATAATCTTTGTTATTTTTTTTTTCCGATTTTTAAATTTTTAATTTTTTCACTTTTTTTTTTTTTTTATTCTTGAAATATTAAAAAATATCATATAAAAAAATCGATCATCAAAATATTGATTCCCTTTTTTTTACGGCACTTAAAAAATGACCTCAAATTCATGGTTCTAGATCAGAACACCCCCTTAAGATTTTATTTTATTTTATTCTCTGTTTGTAATATTTTCCTTCAATAAATTTTAGTTTTTAATATTTTTTAAATATTAATTTACTTTTTAAATCTTAAAAAATTAATATCAGTATACAATTTTTTCAGGGAATAATTCCATCATTACGGTATGAAGTATGGAAATTTTTATTAAACTACTATCCATGGAACTCAACGGTATCTGAAAGAATAGAATTAAAAAAATTAAAAACTGACGAGTATTACAGAATGAAATTACAGTGGAAGTCAATGTCTGCTGATCAAGAAACAAGATTTTCAGATTATCGTGATCGCAAAAGTCTTATAGGTAATTTTTAATTTTTTACTACATATTATTAATTTATTATTATTATTATTATTATTATTATTATTATTAATTGGATTACTAATTAAAAACAATTTTACAAAAACAGAAAAAGATGTCAATAGAACAGATAGAACTCACCCGTATTACTATGGTGAAAATAATCCCCATCTCTCTCAATTGTACGACATACTCATGACTTATATAATGTACAACTTTGACTTGGGGTACGTACAAGGTATGAGCGACTTACTTAGTCCTATATTGTGTTTAATGGACAGTGAAGTTGACGCTTTTTGGAGTTTCGTTGGATTTATGGACAAAGTTGTAAGTATTTGCTTGGTTATTTATTAAGAAATATTTCTGTTAATTAAATTAATTAAATTTCAAAGTTTATATTTGTACGAGAGGTTAATTAATAACGAACATACAAAAATTTGTTTTTAAAACTATAGTAATAAATAAAACTATAATAATAAATACTATAATAATATAATAATAATAAGTTATTAGAAGAGAAAAATCGATTTTCTTATTTATTTATTTATTTATTTATTTAACAGTACATTAAACCCTACAGCAATGCCAATAAGCGGGTTCCATAAGGAAAAAAAAAATAACAATTATATTCTTATAATAAAGCTTATGTGTAGTAATAGTAGTAGTAAGACCATGTTTGGACTAAAAGTCAAACCTAGATTGTTAAATAATTAAATTAAATAGGATACACTGAATCAGTGACTATTTGACAAACATAGTTTCGCAAAAGAATCTATATTATTTATCACATAAATATAAATATCAAGGCTGTTATCAATATTAAAGAACATGTTAAAGGTAAAACTTTAACCTATATAGGAGAAAATGTAAGGATGAAATTAAGTTAAGTTGATTAAGTCCAAAATGTTCTTGCTAGGAGCGTATACAACTAGATTTTATGCTTTTATATCACAAACTGATAACCCGTATTTATTTACAAAACACGGGGAGTTGAAGTCACCAAGCACTAAAGAGACACAGATGACGATGATCCTGTAGAGACACTTCTAGGCCCTCGATGAATTATCACCGAGTTTAGAAGTGCTATGAAATTAGTGAATCTCATCAAACTTCGTATTTATACCCCTGGCATTTTGATAGTAGATAGTTAGAGACGCCTGCGTGTCTCCACTTTTTCTGAGACACCATTCCTCGTGACCAACCTGAGATTTTCCTCTCCCTGTAATTTATTGATTAAAAAAAAATTTTCTTTACAAATTAGTAAAATATTGATTTTTAGTAATAATCTAGAACTAAACTAGAATGAATTAGAGAAATTTTTTAATTTTAGTCATTTTCCCATTTTGCATGGAATGCCCCATCTTCAATATTTTACCCATAATAAGTACTTAAAACTTTTGAAAACTATAACTTTAAATTCAAATTTTAGACAAAGAAAGCGAGATAGGTCAAAATTTTTTTGTATTTTCAATATTTGACCCAGAATTTTGAATTAAAATTTGAAAATTCAAACGTATAATAAATAAACTAATTTTTAATTTATTAATAATAATAATAAAAATTTCAGAGTTCAAATTTTGAAATGGATCAAGCTGGAATGAAAGCTCAATTATGTCAATTAAATAACTTACTTCAGATAACCGAGCCACAACTGGCGCAGTATTTAATTAAAAACGAATCCGGAAACATGTTCTTTTGTTTCCGTTGGCTGCTTGTATTATTTAAGCGCGAGTTCAACGCTATTGATATAATTAAACTCTGGGAGGTATTATGGACTGATTTACCTTGTAAAAATTTCCACTTGTTAATCTGTACGGCGATACTTGACACGGAAAAAAGCGCGCTCATGGAAAATCGCTATGGCTTTACTGAAATTTTAAAGGTAGAATAAAATATAAATTTTTATTTTAAAAAAATTCTAAAAAATTAAACTAAATTTATGAATTTTTTTACAGCACATTAATGATCTATCTCTTCACATTGAATTACCGTGGACATTATCAAAAGCCGAGGGTATTTACCACCAATTAATGGCAGTCGCTCCGAATTTGCCAGACCACATACGGACAGTAATCGGTCTGGAGCCACTAAACAACACATCGCCTTCGACGAGCGATCTGGATGAAGAGAGTAACGATGTTACTGTGACAAACGATCAAACAGCCGATGGTGATAGTTTTAACGGCGAAAAAACTTCTAACAGGAGGGACAGCAACGAGAGCGGTAACATTAAAATCGGGAATGACGAAGTTGCATTTGAGCGCGGGTTAAATATGTTTTATATGTAATTTATTTCTAAGCATCTTGATCTTTAACTATTTAATTTCCTGGTTAGAAAAAAACATTCAAAATGAATGAAAATTTCAATTCTTTATAAGAGACGTTCTAGTTTCTGACATTGCGGATTCATAAATTTCTTCTGAACAAATAAAAATTTTTATTTTGAATTTAAAAGAAAAAATTTTAAAGTTATAAAAAATTCATATTATTTCATTAAAATTATTATAAAATAAAAATTATAACATCCTTCCCCATAATTTTCCTTTTTGTTAACTAAAAAAAAAAAAAAAAAAAAATGTTATTATTAACAATTATAATTTTTATTTTAATTCTTGCTCAAGGGTTAAAAATACGAAAAAATTGATAAGGACTTTTTTTTATAGAGAATTTAACCCTCTATAAAAAAAGTTTTAAAATTTTTTTTGTATCTTCAATACTTTAGCCATAATAAACACTTTAAATTCAAATTTTGGAGAGAGAAAAAGAGATAAGGCAAAATTAATAAGGATTTTTTTTTGTAAAGAATTCAATCTTCTGCAAAAAAAATAATTCTACAATTTTTTATATCCCATAAAAATAAAAAAAAAAGCTTTGCTACACAATAGATTTATAAATAATTTCCTAAATATTGGAGCGTTTTTTAGAAATTTTTATTTATTCAAAAGAAATTTATGAAACGGAAATTGTATTAAGGAACTAAATGAATTACTTTTTTTTTAATCAGGGTTAATTATTGATCCTACTAAATTAATTGTTTATTGTTCATACTCAAAAAAGTTTTGTGTTTCAATGTTAAAAGTTTATTATTTAAACTCTCATCTTCGGTTGTAATTATTAAAAATGTGTGAAGTTTATATTAATATTTATATATATTACATAAATATGTTATTAAGGCATTTTTATGTTGACTTGTACTTGTAATTTGTTTTTTGAATAAGCTATTTACTTTTAATAAAAAGTTTAAGCTATTGTATTTTATAGATTTATATATAAATATAAAAATGTTATCTTATGTACATTTATGTAATAAAAGTCAAATTTATGTATTACACTAAATTGGTTTAAAAAAATTTTTTTTATGTCAATTAGAATTAAAAAAATATTTTTTAAAAATTACACTTTTAATTTTTCAAACTTTCTAGTAAAATTTTTTTTTTTATTTTTTGTATTAATTTTTTTAAGAAAAATCTAAAAAATTGTCACACGTCTGATAATTTAATTTTTTTTAATTGATCAATATTGACAGAATTATTTATAAAAAAAAAAAATTGTTTAATTTTTTTTTTGACAGACAAATTTGTTTCAAAAAAATATTTTTAAAAAATTGCATTTTTAATTTTTTAAAATTTCTACAAGTCAATTTTTTTATAATTTTTTTTGCAATAATTTATTTGTAACAAAAATTTATAAAATTATTAAATATCTACTAAATTAATTTTAATAAAAACTAGAATTTGAATTTACGCGCGCAAGCGCGCGCCTTGACTATAGAGTTTGCATATATTTTCATGCTTATGATATATTCAACCAATCACGTTACGAATAGTTTGATGCCACATACATTTCATCTCAATTTTATATTAGGATTTTCATGCTTATGATACATTCAACCAATCACGTTACGAATAGTTTGATGCCACATACATTTCATCTCAATTTTATATTAGGATAGAATTTGAATTTACGCGCGCAAGCGCGCGCCTTGACTATAGAGTTTGCATATATTTTCATGCTTATGATATATTTGACCAATCACGTTACGAATAGTTTGATGCCACATACATTTCATCTCAATTTTATATTAGGACTAGAATTTAATTTTCGCGCGCAAGCGCGCGCCTCATATTTATTGTCATGATATATTTATGTGTCGTTTATGTATATTATATTCACTTTCAACCAATCAGATTGAGAATAAATATTTTCAACCAATCACATCACGAATAGATTGGTTTCACATACATTTCATCTCAATTTTATTATGAGAATAGAATTTAATTTTCGCGCGCAAGCGCGCGCGTCATATTTATTGTCGTGATATATTTATGTGTCATTGATGTATATTATATTCACTTTCAACCAATCAGAATGAGAATATTTATTTTCAACCAATCACATTACGAATAAATTAGTTTCACATACATTTCATCTCAATTTTATTATGGGATGGGATAGAATTTGAATTTACGCGCGCAAGCGCGCGCCTTGACTATAGAGTTTGCATATATTTTCATGCTTATGATATATTCAACCAATCACGTTACGAATAGTTTGATGCCACATACATTTGTGATGCACCCAGTGCATCCAACAGGTGACGCTACCTGTTATTAGAGCGCTATCTATTATGAGAGCGCGAATTCAAACGAAATATTGAAACTAGTAAATATTAAATGATTAAAATTAGTTAAATTTTATATTCGAAGTAAATATTCCAGTCCTTTATTTAATGCTTTTACTCTTACCAGTTGTAAAATAAACATCTTTTGGTTAACTCTGTTTTATTTACAAAAGAAAATAAAATAAAATAAAAAAAAAACATATTTCGGTACAAAGGTACATTGTAACCGAATTTTCAAAACCCATAAAAAGTACTTGAGTAATTCAAGGACTTTCTCGCCAGATGAAACTTAAAACCCTATGAGGAGAAGTCGTAAAAGACACGTGTGAAATTCAATAGATCCTTGTTCTAAAGTAACAAAGAATAATAAAAAAACATATGTAACTAAACAAAAGTAATATTGTTAAATAACATTTACTGTTAAAATCTAACTTTATATAATATTGTAGTTAAGCAAAATTGAGTTAAAATAATTAATAATTAGTATCTTATATTTAATTTATAACTAATAATTATTAGTTAACTAATTTACTATTAATTTATTATTAAATCATTATCTAATTATTATTTAATTTATAATTAAATAATAATATCTATTCTTTTATACAGGATAATAATTAAAATGACTTATAATTTTATTAGAAAACTCGATTGTAAAATGATAGAAATAATATTTAATTCGAATTATTAATTATTCAAACTCAAACGTTAGTCCAACATATTATAAATAATATAATATTTATACTTTCATGTTATAATTTACTATAATTTTATTGTAATTTAATAGATTTTAAAAAGGGTTTGTTAACTTAATAAGAATAGTTGGATAAACATAATGACTGTATTGCTAAAAGTATATATAAGTGAAGTCCAACTTTCAGGTCGATAGGCTGAAGTAAATATATATAGATATAGAGAAAATACATGTTAGTGTATAAGGATCATTTATATGTAGTAGAAAATGTATGTATTTATATATTCCTTAGAGTGGATGTATGTGTGGAAGTTATGGTGGGAGAAGAACGGAGTTTGAAGATCTTCGGAAAAACTATGTAACGACACTTCTCATCGAGAGATTAGATTGCTAAGATCACGTCATTGTAAACCTCAATTTTATATTTTGAAGCTTTTAATATTTTGTCAACTCGAATAATAAATTGGAACCAACTAAATAATTTTGATCAAAATTAAATTACGTCTAAATAGAATTCTTTTATTTAAAATTATTCCTTTCCCGCACTGAAACCGAGTATTTTAATACTCCCGGGCGAAAGAACTACAGTAAGTAAAGTTTTAAATAAATAAAAATAACATCCACTAGATGGAAGCATAACACATTTCATCTCAATTTTATATTAGGATTTTTTTTATTTATTAAGTTGTTGAAATGTCACATTGCCTCAAAGTTGGCGCAGTGACATTAAAACTCTAACCTAGAAAATTTTTCTACTTTGCGTTTGCAAAATATTTTTAGTTGACATTGAAACGAATTTTTAACAATATAAACAATGTGCTTGTGACATAAAATATTTATGAAGAAAAGTGAAACAAAGAAGAAATAATGTTAAATAATGGCAAGTGTTGAATAATGGAAATAATTGAAAAATGTGCAAAGACTAGTAAACGTAGAAAAAGGTTAAATAAAAATCGAAGGAAAAACAGAAACAAGTATTATAATAAATGCAAAATAAAAAATAATTATAATAAACAATTTAATGATACACAGTCATATGATAATTTGGATAATAAACATATGATAGATATAATGGGATTTCATGTACCTGACTCTTTTTGGGAGACTTATAAATTTGCTCAGGATTGGCAACACAAGTATGTATTTTTTATTATTGTTATGTTCTACAAAATTATTATTATTAAATGAAAAATTAATGACACTGAATTTAACAGATATCTAAAAATTTTTTAGATTTTTATGATCATTAAATTACAATGAACAAAATTTAGAAAAAAAAATCCATATGTAGAAACTTCAAAAAATTATTAGTGCAAATTTTTTAAAATATGTTTTTTAAGATCACGTCATTGTAAACCTCAATTTTATATTTTGAAGCTTTTAATATTTTGTCAACTCGAATAATAAATTGGAACCAACTAAATAATTTTGATCAAAATTAAATTACGTCTAAATAGAATTCTTTTATTTAAAATTATTCCTTTCCCGCACTGAAACCGAGTATTTTAATACTCCCGGGCGAAAGAACTACAGTAAGTAAAGTTTTAAATAAATAAAAATAACATCCACTAGATGGAAGCATAACACATTTCATCTCAATTTTATATTAGGATTTTTTTTATTTATTAAGTTGTTGAAATGTCACATTGCCTCAAAGTTGGCGCAGTGACATTAAAACTCTAACCTAGAAAATTTTTCTACTTTGCGTTTGCAAAATATTTTTAGTTGACATTGAAACGAATTTTTAACAATATAAACAATGTGCTTGTGACATAAAATATTTATGAAGAAAAGTGAAACAAAGAAGAAATAATGTTAAATAATGGCAAGTGTTGAATAATGGAAATAATTGAAAAATGTGCAAAGACTAGTAAACGTAGAAAAAGGTTAAATAAAAATCGAAGGAAAAACAGAAACAAGTATTATAATAAATGCAAAATAAAAAATAATTATAATAAACAATTTAATGATACACAGTCATATGATAATTTGGATAATAAACATATGATAGATATAATGGGATTTCATGTACCTGACTCTTTTTGGGAGACTTATAAATTTGCTCAGGATTGGCAACACAAGTATGTATTTTTTATTATTGTTATGTTCTACAAAATTATTATTATTAAATGAAAAATTAATGACACTGAATTTAACAGATATCTAAAAATTTTTTAGATTTTTATGATCATTAAATTACAATGAACAAAATTTAGAAAAAAAAATCCATATGTAGAACTTCTAAAAAATTATTAGTGCAAATTTTTTAAAATATGTTTTTTATAATAATTGATTAGTTATAAAAATTCAAAAAATTGTCAAATTTCTGCTAATTTCAGTATTATGAAAAATTAGTTTATTTAGCCAAATTTTGTTCAGGTTTAAATTCAAAATTCTTGGTCAAATGTTGAAATATAAAAAAAAAACAAAATTTTTTTATAAAAAATTTAAATCTCTACAAAAAAGGTCCTCATTAATTATGACCTATTTCTCGTCTTTTCATCAAAATTTGATTTTAAAGTTGAAAAATAAAGTTAAAAATCTTAAAGTTTTTTAGACGTGCAATTTTTTTTTTTTATTTTTTTGTAATGATTTTTTCAATAAAAAAAATTATAAAAATTTTTAATTGTCGGCTAACTTAATTTTCATAAAACTATGTCATTAAAGTTAGCCGACGTTCTAAATTTTTTGATTTTTTTTTTAATAATCAAATTAGAACAAAAAAATTTTTTTTAAAATTGTACTTATAGTTTCTGAAGTTTTTTAGACGTGCAATTTTTTTTTTTTATTTTTTTGTAATGATTTTTTCAATAAAAAAAAATTATAAAAATTTTTAATTGTCGGCTAACTTAATTTTTATTAAAAAACTTATCTATAGCTTTTAAAATAAAAAGTTAAAAATGCAGGTTATGGCTAAAATATTGAAAATACAAAAAAATCATATAAAAACTTTTATGTAGAAAATTTAATTCTCTATACAAGAAAAGTCCTTATCAATTTGGACCTATCTCGCTTTTTTTGTCCAAAATTTGAATTTAAAATTATAAAACTTATCCGTAGTTTTCAAAAGTTTTAAATACTTATTACTTATGGCTAAAATATTGAAGATACAAAAAAATGATAAAAATACTTGTTTTATAGAGAATTACATTTTCAACAAAAAAAGTCCTTATCAATTTTAGCGTATTAGAACAAGAGCCCACTGCGGCCAGACCTTCGTTATTTTATAAAAGCTGAAATTTTTTCTGTGCATATATGTTCCCTATAGTGGTAAGAACGACCAGCGACTACCTGGGAAAATGATAAGACCTGACCATGCCTGTTCATGTATGATCAGGTCTGACTATTTTTTCCCGGGTGTAGAGTTTAGGTTGTGATTACTTGGGCAGGTAATAAGTATTAAAGGCGCATAAAATAGTACCTAAAATTCGTTAAAGTATAAAGCTCAATTTTTTTATATTGTCTTCGGATAACTTTAAAAATCTCGTCGTCCATTGCCGGACACTTATGACAATTGCTACCCTCTGCTAGACACCCTTAATCTTTAATAAATTATAGTTGTAATTTCATTATAGTATAAAAGCTAAATTTTATATATCGGGGGTTTTCTAACGCAACCACGTACCTTGATTTTTGAAGATGAAAGGGTTCTACTGGAAAATTAATAATTAATTATAAACGCGTACTGAAAAAAAATATAAACCAGATTAATAATAAATACAATAGGGTAAATGTACCAATTATTGACCGATTAAGGTTTTCTTTTTCTGTACTAAGCTATAAAAAATCTATTAACCTACTAAAAACAATTTGTAATGGATTTTATTAAAGTTAAATACTTAATTAATAATAATTAATAACTATTTATAATAAAAATTAACAAAATTATATTAATTTTGTTATTTGAATGTTGAAATACTAAAATCACCAATTACTGACCGAAGAAACCCAATAAATGACCGACCGTTCTCGCCGGCTTCAAAGGGCCTTTGTAACGATTTTTTCTCAATTTTTATATAATAAGGGTAAAACTTTGTGGTGGCTGGAGGGGTAGTTCCGGGGCAGCTAATGCTTTGGTGATTTTTTATATTGTGTAGGGGTATTTTATGAGTCCTACAAAAAATCGCCAGCTTCAAAGGGCTCTCGGAAGGATTTTTTCAGAATTTTTTTTTTAATGTCATAAGTGTTTGGGGTGGCTGGGGGGGTAGTTCTGGGGCAGCTAATGCTTTGGTGATTTTTTATATTGTGTAGGGGTATTTTATGAGTCCTACAAAAAATCGCCAGCTTCAAAGGGCTCTCGGAAGGATTTTTTCAGAATTTTTTTTTTAATGTCGTAAGTGTTTGGGGTGGCTGGGGGGGTAGTTCTGGGGCAGCTAATGCTTTGGTGATTTTTTATATTGTGTAGGGGTATTTTATGAGTCCTACAAAAAATCGCCAGCTTCAAAGGGCTCTCGGAAGGATTTTTTCAGAATTTTTTTTTTAATGTCGTAAGTGTTTGGGGTGGCTGGGGGGGTAGTTCTGGGGCAGCTAATGCTTTGGTGATTTTTTATATTGTGTAGGGGTATTTTATGAGTCCTACAAAAAATCGCCAGCTTCAAAGGGCTCTCGGAAGGATTTTTTCAGAATTTTTTTTTTAATGTCGTAAGTGTTTGGGGTGGCTGGGGGGGTAGTTCTGGGGCAGCTAATGCTTTGGTGATTTTTTATATTGTGTGGGGGTATTGTGGGAGTCCTACAAAAAATCGCCAGCTTCAAAGGGCCCTTGGAAGGATTTTATCTTAAATTTTTTTTTCCAAGTGTAAGTTTTTGGGGTGGCTGGAGGGGTGGTTTTTGTGTTTTGAGGGGCTAATATATCATTTTTAGGGCTCACTGTCTCTATTCGAAACTGAAAAACCATTTTCAGTTTCAGGAGCAAAAAAAATTTTTTTTTGATTTTCGTTCATAAATGAACGTTCGGAACTTCAGGTACATCCGTTCTCCAATTAATTGACCGCTTAAATAATTATAAGTAATTTTGTAAACTACATGTATGTAATTAAATTTATGCAGTACTTTTGAAGTATATTAACGACATCTTTAACAAAACTAAACATACAATATAATTTTAAATCGTACTTTTTTATAAAATAATATAAATAATAGCAATAATTAACATAAAGTCACATTTCTTTAGGTCACAAATAATCACAAATTCATTTTAATGACGATAATTCTTCTGATTCACTTGAAATTTTTTATTCTTTTTTTCAATTAAAGCTTTTTTACTAGCTTGTAACTCTTTTTTATTTTTTTAATTGCTTAGCAATTTTTTCTTCTAATAATTCGTTCTTTGATATAACCGTTCACTAAAAAAATTACAACAAAATAAAATTTAATAATCAAAAAAGATTTTAAGTATTATTTTAATTATAAATATACATTTTATAATGATTATTTTTATATTTACAAAATATTGAATGACTAAAGTACTTTAAACACTTGACAGATTTAATTTTTAGGTTGAGAAGTTAGTATTATAAATATACGGTGATTAATTGGATTGTGATAAAATCACAAGTTTAAGACCGGTCTTAAAATAATATTAAAGCTTATAATTTAACTTTATTTTTTCAAAAAAGTTGGAATCTGATCTTTAATTAACATAATAAAACTAAAATATTTTATATTATGCCGATAAATATCACTGAATTAATGATGAAATGCACTCACTCTCCAATTGTACGCTAGTTATTTTTGACCGCTTTATGGCTGGTTGCGTTGTCAACAAACTCAGAATATTTTTTTAAAGCTATAATCGCTGCGCAATTAATTGCGTAATTTTTTTATTATGATGATTAAATGCCATATTTTTTTATTTTAATATTTTAAGAAAAAAAAAACCCTTGTAAAATATTAATTAATTAACTTTTTTATACATCGGTCAACTAATTGGTGACCGGTCAACAACTGGTGCATTTACCCTAGTATTTTTAGAAAATACAATTGATAGATATTGTTTATTAGATGAATATTAATTTTTTATAAGCTATTTTTTACCTTATCTCTAAAATTGTCATTTTTGCTTCGAGACAACGTTATTTATTTTTACTTTATTATTATCATTTCCATTACTGTTTATAAGTTTTATTATTATTATGTATTAATTTATATGTAAGGTCCTTAGGGAGTTAAGGCTTCAGGGTCTAAAATTTTGATAAATAAATAAATAAATAAATAAGGTTGCGTTAGAAAACCATCGATATGTTACTTGGGGACCTGTAAAAAAATGCTACCTCAATAGCCGGACAGTTTTAATGGTTTTTACATTTTGCCAAACACATTGAAAGTCTGCTGTAGGTGCAAACGCGAGGTAACAACTGTTAAAGCGGATGCAAGTGAAATAATGCGCTTAGTCGACTGCGCATCATCTGTCATTTATTGTTGTATTGAAAAATTATGCGTATATAGGTAAAACCAACGTTTTATGATTGATATTTAAGCTGTATTTTTGTTAAATTTTTTTTATTTATTTATTTATTAATTGTATGCCAAGGCCAGAGCCGAATGGCAAGAATACAAAAACAGTGGACATATATTTACATGAATATATAACTAATATTTAATTTACTTCGTAAGTAATTAAAAACATAACAATTTAAAAATTTATAAATTTACAAATTTACAAATCTACTCTTAACAATGTTTACAAGATTTACAACTCCTACTAATTCCTGCAAGTTACAAATTATTTATAACCAAATTCACGTCTTTACCACCAGCTTCAAGATCCAAAAGGTAATTTAGCATTTTGAGTTTAAATAAAAGTGTAATTTTAGTAAAAAGCGTTATCATGGGAGATACATTAATTTGTTTCATTTGTAATAAAAGTGATGGTAATATAATATTGTTCTCGGAGGAAACGTTAAAAAAATGTCGAACTGTTTTGAAAATCAGAAAAAAACATGACCTTAAATATAAAGACATTATTTTGCCTGATGAGTATACAGAAAATGGGTATCACCGGGGATGTTATAAAGCCTTTACAGGACTTATGAAAAAATACATAACTTCTGAACCTGAAAATTTGAAAAAAAAAAAAAAACAGTAAAAAACAAAAATCAGCCAGTGTACCTACAGACAATAGCTCAATAACCTCGTCATTGATTCCTAAGGTGACCACAGAACCATCTCTATGGAGACTATACACAGGAGACCGAAGTCTTATGGCCTAAGCAACTCAAATCCGTGACAAAAACGGTTCCCGTTGCTAGTTTTCTGAAGGCCTGAAGATGTCTCTCATGCTGGTTGAACAACGAAAAATAATTCGTTCAGATGGAGCTTTCGTTACGAGTAAGACTCTTGGAGGTAGTGCCCTCCGTGAAAAATCTACCAACTTCTTTGAATTGTGAAGTATTGTAGCACAATCAAACAGAAAATTGTAGAACATTTTTAACAGATATATATTCTCTCACATTTTTGAGTTATCAAAGAATACATAGATTATTAAAAAACAACGGAGATATTTTTTATGATTTTTTATTGGTAACAGATTTATGAAATTATTAAATAAATAATGTATACAATAAAATATAATTCGATAACATACACAAAAATTTATTGCAACTTTGCTAATTTACGATGCTTTCTTGATTCATCTTTTGAAGCTTTGTTCTCAGAATTGAATTTTCTCGCTATAAAATGCATCCGCAATATGAAATAGTAGTTTAATATAGATGTTGTCAATTCTCTCGAATGTTCTTTGCAACCAACTAAATGAGCCGGTTCATATTTGTCAAGAGCAGAATAGTTAATCTGAAATAATGTGTCTTTCGTTATTCGATTACTTTCTGTCACTTTGAGAATATGTTTCTCTATTGAATTTAATAAAATAATTAATCTATTAGATGGATACATAAGACCACCCTCATTTAGTAAATTAATTGCTTCATATAAATTTTTATGTAGCTCTTCCGGATTTGCTTTAATAGTTGGTTCACATTCATTGCATTTAAATTTACTTTGTTTGAGAATATTTCTGAGAACGTAGCCAGCTACATACACGACAGAATAACTTATGTCTTCATGAACTGGATTTTCCATTTCCTTTAGTACGTATTCCTCGTTTCCATTTTCTTCGGATTCGATTACATTCTCCAATATTCCAGAAATAATTTTTGCCCACTCTTCTTTTTGAGGCAGACCGCGTTGATTAGTAGAGTCCTGTTTACTTTTATTAAATTCGTGTAAGCTTTGGACCATTTCTCCACCTAAAACATTGCTACCTTTGACAGGTTTCAATGATGAGTATGTACATAGTAAACGAAACATTTGGCCAAATAAAATAGAGTCGGGATGATCGTTAGACCCACTTACATTTCTAGCTAAGCCGAAAAATCTCTAGAAAGTAAATAAAATTTCATTATTAAAAAGTTCTAATTTATCAAAATATTAAATCATTTTAATTATTTGTTATCAAAATTTGTAAAAAAAAATAAAATTTAAGAAACATTATTTGATTTTTTTACCTCTAATTTATCTTGATTTACCCGCGTTGTCATTAAATACTCGTAACCATGATTTTTACAAAGATAATCCGTCAGCTCAATTGTTACTTTTAAACCATGACATGTGCTCTCCGTCATGAACTCACTATCATCAGAATTTTTAGCAGCTTCTTCCCATTTAACTAGGTAATCAAGAAATTCTACCAGAAACTATATAACAAAAGTTATGAATTAATAAAATTTATATTCAAAAATACATATAAAATCAAAATTTAAATCCACATATTAATAACTTACAATATACTCTTCCGATTGAGGTTTTAAACCTCTATTTGCATCTCTTATACTCATAATTTCTATCAGCTTATTAATTTTTTTTATCAATTCTACTGTTGGTTTACATTCTGCGAACGCGTTTAAGTTTTCATAGATTATTTGCATTGCCGTTGCTACAGGATTTATCAAATATCTATAAAATATTGAATAACATAATTTCTATTTGCTATTACTAATTTCTATTCTCAAGTACGAAGAAACCTATTAAAAGTTTAAATTTTAAGTAATAAAAGACTGTAAAATACTACGTTGTATAAACTCTGAGACCCTTAAATGCAATTTTGTTAATGAAATATGGGTCGTAAATTGGTCATGAAATATTGGTCATAAATTAAGAGTATGATGACAAATGACATACAATAAATTTTTTTTTAAATACGGTATGAAATACTCAAAATGTTTATGAATTTTTTTCATATTATACGCAACTAGATATGAAAAATCGTCATGCAAATATTTCAACATTTAAATAAACTCTAAAAACTTTCGGACTTCGAAAATCAATTCATACTTTGTATTTTTACTGTTGTTGAGATATATAGGTCCATCTCCATTCAATTATTAAAAAAATTTCATAAAGGAAAGTAAAAAAAAAAATTGTACGCGCCATTCTTTTGTCTATTATACAGTAGAGCTTCTGAATACTCGAATTGTCGAGGGCCATTTTAAGAATTTGATGCAACTAAGATAGGGAAAATAAGGCAATAGTGAAGGTGGGGGAAACTTAGTTTAGACTCAAGTAGCCAAGTACTCATGCAGGGGCTCTACTGTATTGCCTTTAAGTTTATTTTTTTTATTGATTAACTTTCCACTACCTATGAAAGTTAGTAACCGTTTATCAGATTTTTTATTTATTTTCTAACATTCTTTCTATAAATTCAAAAAGATTAAATTTTAATGGAAATTAGATTTCTTAATTTTTAACGATTTCATTCAAATTTTGAGTGATAGCGTGGATTCGTTGAACTACAGCTCATGTTACTGACCAAATGCTGTAACCACTACTATAACTTTTACTATTTACAAAATAAAAACTACAGTCAAACTTAAGCAGATGTTCCTACGAGTAAGAAGCTCAGGTATAATTTATATAATGGAAGGAAATGAGACACACAGTAAAGTGAATACGTTTCCCGTTATGGCCGATTGTTAACATACAACCTTCATATAAAAAATAAAAGCTTCAAAATTTTAAGATATTTTAATCATTATGACCTATACATTTCATTTTTGACTTAAGGTAACTTTACAACTTGAACTATTGTCCTCTAGTTCACTTGCTAAAAATACTAGGAAAATTTGAGGTACAGATTTGAAGAATAGTTCTCAAAATGCTTACAGTTTCTCTTCAAATTTAAGTTCTAGAAATTGGCAAATTCAAAATGAATATTATTTAAATGCTGGGTCATTCCATGTCAAATCGACCAATAGTTGGAATCGACCCCTTTCGATTTGGACGAATTTTGGTCAGAAGTTTTCTTTTATCATATAACGAAGTTCTGCCAAAGGAAAAAAAATAAAAAAATTTTTTTCAAAAGATATGCAAACTCAAAATTTCGCGATTTTTCCAGTTTTTCAATTTTGTTTTTGTAATATCTCGAACGCTAGTAGAGTCATTTGGGGTAAATGTGCGCAGTGGGTAAGAGTGCGCAATCCCATGTATTTGGGACTCAAATGAATGGGTTTGCGCACGCTTATATATATACCCACTGCGCACATTTACCCCAAATGACTCTACTAGCGTTCGAGATATTACAAAAACAAAATTAAAAAACTGGAAAAATCGCCAATTTTGAGTTTGCATATCTTTTGAAAAAAATTTTTTTATTTTTTTTCCTTTGGCAGAACTTCGTTATATGATAAAAGAAAACTTCTGACCAAAATTCGTCCAAATCGAAAGGGGTCGATTCCAACTATTGGCCGATTTGACATGGAATGACCCTTGTGTACTACCTTGTACCAATCTTAAAAGATCCTGAAATTTTTGGAATTGTGTTTTTTGTTTTTTCAAAAATATGAATTTTTGAAATTTGTTGAAAGAAAAAATTTTTCTTAAAATTATTTTTTTTCTCATCGTTATGCCACTAAATGACATTTTAATTGTTCAGAATATCGAAATTACGCGATTTACCAAACTCAATTGAGATAAAAATAAAAAAAAAATTTTGGAGAAAAATTTTTTTTTTTAAGAAATTTCAAAAATTCATATTTTTGAGAAAACAAAAAACACAGTTCCAAAAATTTCAGGATTTCTTAAGATTGGTACAAGGTAGTATATAAAAAAATTTGAGCAAAAAATTTATTGTCGACCGTCATTTTTTACGATTTTCAAAAATTCAAAATTTGACAAATTTGGCATTTTTCAAAATTTTTTCCCAAAATATTTTTTTTTTAATAGCTCCAAGTGTCCCCTTTCAAACAAATGAAAGATTATTCCTGTATCTATACTAGCGTTCGAGATATTACAAAAACAAAATTAAAAAACTGGAAAAATTGCGAAATTTTGAGTTTGCATATCTTTTGAAAAAAATTTTTTTATTTTTTTTCCTTTGGCAGAACTTCGTTATATGATAAAAGAAAACTTCTGACCAAAATTCGTCCAAATCGAAAGGGGTCGATTCCAACTATTGGTCGATTTGACATAGAATGACCCTGCTACATTGTTAATATCGCTCGTTTATCACATATTGTAAAAAAAAAAAAAATAAAAAAATAGTTGCAGAAATCGAGCAAAAAGAATTTTTCAATATATCATAAACCACTCTTTAACACTTTGCGCCATCAGTAGCTTATATATAGTATATTTTTTATTGTAAAAAATTATTAAGTTAATATGCAGTACTATATAGTACCAATAGTAAGTTTCATACATATGCATAGTTATCGGCTGCAAGGTGAAATTATATTTTAGAGAAAATATTGTGTTTCTGGAAAATACAAAATTAGAATGAATACGTGAATTTTATTCAACATTTTGCAATTTTATTACAATATTTTGAAAAGTTTTACATAATAACATTTATTTTACAAAAAATTATTTCTAATGTACATTTACAATTATCAATTCGGCTCAAGTATTATTTTATATATACACATATTATAAGCTTATTTTATGGTAACACTTTAAAATTTGTTCTATATGCTCCCGGGATTCGACATTTTTAGAAGAAAGCCATGAAATGATTTCTGCTCCATACATAAATTTAAACTCTAAAGATTGATTAACAATTAATGTTTTTTTACCATACAATTTTTCATCTATTTCAAAAAAAAAGAAAAGAATATAAGTATTAAATTTAATAAAATGCCATTTATCGGATGGAAGTGATATTTTATCAATATTTTCAACTATATCTGCATATATAGAGTTTTGTGTAATACGATTACGACGTATAGGTTTACTTTGAATTTTTTTTGATTTTTTCTTTAACCGTACATTTTCGGTTAATGAAGAATCATAATTTTTAAAAATTTTTTTTGCTTTTATATGATATTTTTTACTATTCGTAATAAAAAAATAATAGCAGCCAAATACTTACAAGCAATAGACGATACAACATTTGAAAACTTACAAAGAAGGCGATATTGACGACTGGAGGAGTAGTGATGACGAAAATGATGAAATTTATAAAAATGATTAAATATTTTTTTATATGTAATGATACTTTTGTTTGTATTTTATAATATTAAAATAACATTTTTTACTTTATATAACATGGCTATGAATGTAATAAAATTATTTTTTTATTGGATATAATGGGTTACAAAAACCGATTTATTTATTTATTTATTTATTTATTTATTTATTAATAATAAATGCCAAGGCACACAGGCTAAATGGCAAGATATGAAATACAATAATTCTTGTGGAACTGAAAAATTTACAAAATAATACAGATTATACATGAAATTAACATGTGTAGGTAAATAACAAACAAAACTATAAAGTAATATAAGAATCAATTAAGCTTAACAATATTATAAATTTAAAAAGTATTTTTGGTAATAATTTATGATTAAATTTAATGAGATTTAAATAAGTCCATTTCTTATTTGGAATAAAAGTAAACTAACATCTTGTAAAAACTAGCTAAACAAAATAATATATTGTAACATTGCACATAAACTTAGAAATATTAATCAGTCATTTGACAAAAGGTAGAATATTGTCTTGAAGTTTCAAATCGATCCGAATAATAGTTTTGGAGATACAGTTTTAAATAATTGCGCGCTCAAGGCGCTCGGCTGCCCAATTTCAAAACACAGTAACTGACAATTTTAAGATTTTAAAAAATTTCTCAAATTGATAAAAATTTGATTTATAAATAGAAAATACTTGAATATAAATAGTTTTAAGAAAAAATTCTTGAAATTAAGGTCTAAAAGTTATAAGAAATGCAGTAATACTAAAAAAAAATTACGTACAAAAATTTTGTAGTTACTGTGTTTTAAAATTGGACAGCCGCGCTGTTGTATTCACTCAAAGCTTTAAACGCGTTTTTCTCAAAACTATGTCTTCCAAGACGATTGTCAAGATTTATCGAGAACTACTCAACCGATCTTGATGAAATTTTAGACAGATCTTCGAGATGTAATTTACAAGGTCTGGGACAAAGAATTTTTTTTTTTCCAATTACAACTATTAAAAAAAAAAAAATGCCGCGAAATTTCATCCAAATTTTTCATTTTTTTGTAAAAACCTCTGCCAAAAATCAAATTTTCATTTTGTTCGTTCAAGACCTAGTTTGAAGTCCTAACTCACAATGGCAGAGTTTTTAATATTTTTTTTTTTTAATTTCAGTAATCCCTTATTAAACATGTATCTTTAAGACAGTAAAAAGTTTGAATAAAATATTTCATTTTTTATATTAAAAAAAAATTGTTGAAAATAGGCCAAACTCTATAGTCACTAGTTGTTCTTAATTGAATAGAGGACATGCACAGAAAATCTTTCAGCTTTTATAAAATAACGAAGGTCTGGCCGTCGTGGGCTCTTGGGCTATATCTTTAACTTTGAAGCAAGAATTTTGAAAATATCTTTTAAATTTATTATTATTAAATTTTGATTTTTAATAAATTATCAATTTTCAGGCATCAAGTTGCGTGGTGGAGGTCCAAGTGCGTAGCATTAGAGCACGAAAATCTGGTTCTAAAAAATAAAATCCGTGAGATCATCAATAATTGCAATCACAATCATGTCAATTGTCAGCATCATCAAGTTCATAATTATGAAAATAGATTAGGAGAGCTAGAAAATGCTGGACGTTCAGAGCCCATTCAAGAACCATATCAGTATCAAAATCAGAATAATTTTTATCAACAAGCTGAAGAAGAAGAAGAAGAAGAAGAAGAAGAAGAAGTAGAAGAAAATAATGAAGAGCTAGAGTTTGAGATTGACGAAGGAATGATGAAATTCCTGGAGCAAAGTGCTCGGCATAAAAAGGAGCTGAAGCGAAAACGGGAGCTGGAAGCTGAGGAAGCCCAGGTCACTTGGGTGTCTCATGAAAACGACGATAAGATCAAGTTAGAAGAAACTACGCTGCTATACGGAAAGGACAAGTCCAAGATCATTGCCATCGAAACGAGGATGCAAGTGGAGGTTGATCAGTACAAAACTCAACACCAGCCGGAATACTGGCCCATTATTCCCCTTAAGTTATAATTAAATAATAAATTAAATTTGTAAGTGATGATTTTTATCAGAAAAATAAAATGTCTGAATTTATAAGACTTGTTTTATTAAAATTGTAATTTATTGTAATTATTTAAAAAAATTGACAATTTTCTGAATTCAAGCCTCCGGTAAAACTTCTAAGTTGTTCTTTTTCTGTAATTTTACTAATTTATTTTAATAATTATTCATTTCTTCACAGAGTCGTAGGTGAAGGATTATCAATCGTGCAATTCAAGAACTTAGAAATGACGAGGAGCTTTTTCTTTACATTGACTGACATAGACGCATTTTTTTTTAATTTTGTCTCTGACAAATTCTCTTTTGATATCGCACATACATACTTTTTCGCCAGTCTGAAAAAAAAAAAACTTTGTCATTTTTAAATTTAACTTGTAAATTAAGGACTAATTTTTTTATCTTTTGTCCTAGAAAAGTCGAGTGGATGATTTTTAATTGATTAAATTTCTCCGATGAGATTAAAAACTTTTTTTTTTCATCGAAAAAAACCCACGGAGAGAATTTTTTATTTTTTTTTTTTTATGAATAAAAATAAAAATTGTTCATTTAAAAATTTTAAAATACGAATTCAGGAGATAAAAATTATAAAATTTTTGCTTTCTTTTGAAATAAAAAGTTTAAATATTGTAAAAAAATTGCGTCAAAATTTTCTTTGTAATTTCTAAAATTGCATTTTTTTTTTAATTCTCTCTATAATTATTTTTTTGTTAAAAAATCAAAAGATGGTCACATAAAAGTTAATTTTAGTAACATTAATGTTAATAATTCATTATTTTTAACTTTTTACGAATTAAAAACAGAAAATTTTACAGAAAATTAAACTTTAGATAAATTATTTAAAGTATTTGTTAGTAATTTGACATTTGAAATTTGTTTCAGCTAAAATAAAAATTATTTTTATCTTTCTTCTAATTTCACAAATCTTTCTTCCAAACTCGAAAAATTTTATTGTTAATTAAAGTAATAATTATAAATTTTACTCACCAGAATGGAACAAACGGACAAAACATACTGGCTCGTACAAGTTGCTTCACAATATTCTCCACCACGCCCTGCAACCATACCTTCTGTACAATTAGGCTTTTTCATTTCTTCCTGGGAACTGGCGTCACTTTGCCAGCCTTGGAAATCTATAACTCATTTCATAAAATTAGTAACAACTTATTAAGTAATTTCATGACAAATAATGAACTAATATTATAATTATTACTCACATAAAATTCCCACAAAAATAATAAGTAAAAATTTCATTAAAAATCTTTTTTAGTTGCTAAGTAAAACAAAAAATAAATTTATATTAACGAAGGAATCTGTATTTATACTTAAAAAAGAATGCGTATATTAGAATATTTTTCGGAGAAAGTCAAGGACAAAGTTTTGATTTGATTTTAAAATACAGATTTATCCCAAAAAATGCGTCAGATGTTTTTAAATTCTCACATACACGGAAAGAACAAGATTATACTGAGTGAAAAAAAATTTTTCAGATAGTAGCTAGTATAATCCAGATAACATTGAGTATAATCCAGATTACAATGAGTATAATCTAGATTACAATGAGTATAATCCAGATATTATTCAGTATAATCTGGATTATACTAGCTACCATCTGAAAATTTTTTTCGCCTCAGATGTCACTGAGTATAATCTGAGATGGTATCCAGTGTCATCTTGTTCTTTCCGTGTAGTTGATGAACTTGTTACGTAACTTGATTTGACAAAAAGTGAAATTTAATTTAATTAAAATTAATAGTAAAATACTGATCAAGATTAACTTATCGGTTAGAATGGCTTCTGAAGTAGCAGTTATTCGCATCGCAGGTGCATCCAGGGATTTCATAGTCCTGTAAGTAATTATTAGGCATATTGCATGACAAATGTCAAAAGGGCATATAGAAATTTTTTATGCCAATCTGCAAACATATTCTAAACTTGAAACTGAAAAAAAAATTTCGTAAACCAAAAGGACGTATGAGTAAAATTCTATGTTCTTTTGGCTTTAGAAACTTTAAAATTTAGAGATCTAAAGCCAGAAGGGCTTAGATATTTTTAGTGGGATCTAATTGTCTTATTAATCAATTAGGTATCTTCTCTGGAAACTTGATTTTCATACCCTGAGTATTATTTTTATTTGCATTTATTTTTTGAGCTTTTCGTCAACGTTTTGTAATATATATTAATCACATATACTTTTTTTTTTCTATACCAGTTTGATTTTGAGAAAATTTATATTACAGCCAAAAGGTAGTATATTTTAATTGCGATATATCTTTTCGGTTTCGATAGTACAAAAATGATTTTATTTAACAGTGGATACAGTTAGATCAGAAAAAAAAAACAGTTGTGCTGTAAAAAATTACGCCAAGCCCACGTTCATAAGACTATTAAAAGAACAAAATTTTTTACTTTTGCAAAATTTTTTACTTCTACCCACCCCGGTCCAAGAATAATTTCGAGCTCTCCTCGCCTTTATATAGATTAATTAACATATGTAACTTTATTATACGGCAGGATAGTAACATCGATCTACTCGATTGTATAACAAGCATTATACAAGACTATACCCAAATGTCATCCAGCTATAGTACATAGTACATTGAACATGTCCAGTACTTAAACCTTGTATGTATAAAATGAGTAAGTTTAAGTATAATTATAATTTTTGGGTTTCTTAAATAATAATATTAATAAAATACATGTAATATTAAAGATTGTTAGCTATCATGCGCCATTCAGAATAACAATTGTATCTTTTTTGTATCTCTGTTATTGGCCATCAGGCTGTTGAGATGTATATAAAGAAAATAAAATAAAATAAAAAAAAAATCCCAGTAACTGATATGATTGTAGGGTAAATACACCAATTATTGACCGATTAAGGTTTTCTTTTTCTGTACTAAGCTATAAAAAATCTATTAACCTACTAAAAACAATTTGTAATGGATTTTATTAAAGTTAAATACTTAATTAATAATAATTAATAACTATTTATAATAAAAATTAACAAAATTATATTAATTTTGTTATTTGAATCTTTAAATAATAAAATCACCAATTACTGACCGAAGAAACCCAATAAATGACCGACCGTTCTCCAATTAATTGACCGCTCAAATAATTATAAGTAATTTTGTAAACTATATGTATGTAATTAAATTTATGCAGTACTTTTGAAGTATATTAACGACATCTTTAACAAAACTAAACATACAATATAATTTTAAATCGTACTTTTTTATAAAAGGCTAACTTTATTATTATTAATAATTTATCTGTTATAAAAAATGACATTAAGTTAGCAGTTTTGACAATTTTTTAATTTTTTTAGCAAACAAATTTTTTTTGAAAAAATATTAACAAAAATTATAATTTCAATTTTTTTTAATTTCTATACGTCAATTTTTTTTTTTTTCCATAATTTATTTGTCAAAAAATTTCTTAAAATTATTCAACATCTACTAAATTAATTTTCATTATAAAAATTAAAGAAATTGACAGATGTATGTTAATTTCAAATTATAAAAATTTTAATTAAAAAAAAAAAAAAATAATACTAAAGTTAGCCGACATTTTTAATTTTTTAATTATTTTTTATTTATTAAATGAAAACTAAAAAATATTTTTAAAAAATTGCACTTAGAGTTTTTCGAGTTTTTTACAAGTGAAATTTTTTATTTTCTTTTTTTTTGTAATAATTTTTCAATAAAAAAATTTCTAAAAGTTTTTAGATGTCGGCTAACTTTATTTTCATTTAATTAGAACTAAAAAATATTTTTAAAAAATTGCACTTATGGTTTTTCAAGTTTTTTATGAATGAAAATTTTTTTATAATAATTTTTTCAATAAAAAAAATTCTAAATATTTTTAGATGTCGGCTAACTTCAATATCATAAAAAAAATAGATTACCTATTGTCATAATAATGCCCCAGACCAAAACGACTCTCCGGCCAACAACCGCATCAATATTCCAAAACAAAAAGGGAATAAACGTGGTATAAAAAATCTCATCACCCAACTGAGTACTGAACAAAAACAAATAGTACCAATAATAATTACTAATAATCGGTAACTTCAACTTTTTAGCTTTAACTTTGGTGGTTTCATTATTGTCATCATAACTACAATCTGTACAATTGACTTGTGCTTTACCACTTTCATTACCTCGATTATTATGACATAAATTACTATTATTTATCGATAAACAACCATTTTGATTTTTTTTAGATCCATTTTTGGGACATGGACCACTTGTTTCTCCATTTTTATCAATCACAATCGACTCCGAATAATAGACACCAAAAAATTTTTGAATTTTCGCAACCAATTCGGCATCTTTTAAGTAATTTATTACATCCATTACTAACAATTAATAATTAACATATATTATTAAATAACACTTAATAAATTTTTTTATATTTAATACTCAACACCCGCGAATATTCACATTTTTTTTTTTTTAAATATTATTTAAATATATCTGCATCAAGGATGCGAATTGAAAAAGAACTTTAAATCTATAGATAAGCGCGAATATTAAATACCGATTATAGATTTGAATATTATCTGAGTACGTGTAATGTAATTAAGGTTTTTAGCGTCGATAAAAAAATAATTTAAATAAATAATAGTTTATGAGCACTCAGAAGTCGGGTAATGCGCGGTTTGTGTATTTATATGTAAATATAGTATTATGTAGCAAGAATTGCCGATATTTTTTGCCGCATTAGCCATCGGAATTACTTTACAGGTATGAACAGTGTGGTACGATAATAATAATCAACAGTATTGAATATCGAGTGTGAGGCTTAAGAATGGATGTGAGTGTACTGGTTACAAAGCCGTAAATTGATTGTGTTTTTCAGTGTGTTTATTGATGGTGAACTTTGTACTTGTACCAAGTTTAGAAGAGAATATTTGTTCCCAGATGGCTATTGGTGGTTCTTTAGATCATCACTTTTTGTCGGTAATG